AGCTGTAAGGCTTTCTATTAGCTCACCAATACGATTTTAGTTGTCAATATCCAGTGCAACATCGATCAATGAATCAACGAACAGAATGGAATGTCTCGACTTGTTGGCCGTTTATTTAATCCTGCGTTTGAGTTCTTCCTTTCATTTAGAATTCCTCGTTTTTTTAAAATGGCTTGCCAAACACGGGCCGAACGAGCAATGTCCTCTGCTCTTCAAATCGTAAACTTGTGAAGGTCAAGCACAAATGCAAATAATTTTGACAAGCGTAAGCTTTAGTGTGAGAGCGAACGTGTATGATGCAAAGCGAATCCTTCTTCTACTTCCTTTGATAAGTGAGGGATTATCTAGCTAGGAACTGTTCAACCAAACAGACTATCAATTTCAGCTTTATTGAAACTGAGAATTGCATATATGCGCGCGCTACTAAAAACATGCAACGCAAACACGGTATTCTCGTACAGTGAAGAGGGGTTATACACCCGAAACGTCTTGTTATTACAGCCATTATGAGACTTTTGATATTTGTGACCTTAGATGCGAAAACGTACACTAACGACTTTCCGTTTTCAAACGGCTTTCCATTTACAAGCCGTTTGTGCCAACCGTTCGAACGGCTTGATCACGCGCTCGCTAGAAACAGCATGTTCGAATGGCTTCCTCGCCGACCGCACCTGTTAGTTAGAAACATCAATCCGTTCGAACGACTTAATTACGCGTTCGTTAGAAACATTAAACCGTTCAAACGACTTGGTCACCCGTTTGTTGAAGACAGCAGGCGGTTCGAACGGCTTGGTCATCTGTATTATGGCATTCCTTTGAATTTTCTGTCGAATGACATGCATAGGAGACGAGTTACGCTATTCGTTCCAAAAAAAATCACTCGTTCGAGCGGTCATTTAACTCAATGTTTTCAAGATTTGTTTGACTTCATTTGCACAAGTTTATCGGCTTTAAACTCTTATTTTGCCCTTTTTAAAACAACACACGTACACAAGCGCCGATCATGGAGTGGATTTTTTTTTCCGATCTAGCAGACTATGAGCTTTTTAGCGTCCACAATCCCTTATCAGACGAAAAATCTAAGCAAAAGATATCCTATGTAAACAAAACGTTTCAAAAGAAACCCGAACACTTTTGCTCTCCGCATGTTTACATTACAAATGAAACAATTTGTTGCCAATGACTTGTTCTACGTAAAAAACACGGAGAATCAAAGAAGCCCGTGTAATTCGCGCTCTTCTTATTCAAATGGCTAGTGTTGCGTTACCTATCACTCACGTTTGCTTTATGCAAATTTGGTAAGAATGTAATCTGAGAATTGCAGCTAGAAGTAGAATCACTGTATTGATTGTGAAAATCCTGAGGGAAAGAGCCGTGATTTGCCGTAATGATTTCCTTTTTTATTAAAACTTTCGAATAGGACGGTAGATTTTCTTCATTTTCACTTATATTCTGTAAGTAATATACTTGAACAAAACCATTCTCAAAGAAGAAGCTGACAAACAGAAGTAACGAAGTAAGCTGAGTTGTACAGGTTAAGATGACATATAATAGTGTGTTAAGAATTCTACTGTGTTAAGGAAACAAAGGAACATAGCGTGTTAAAAAACACAAAGAATTCTAGCGTGTTATAAAAACAAAGCTCTACCGTGTTAACCAGATATGAACAATGGCTACGAACACGCTTCCCAGTATCAATTGTTTTTATGCGCATATCTGCTTGGTAAGCGTGTCATGTCATCAGCGTGCGAGCGTGTTATAACGTGCCTCTGAGAGATCACAGAATTGTTTTCTGTACTTGACAATGTCTACTTTTGTAAGAATGGTACTGATGCAGTTTTCTTGCAGCACTGTTACATCAGGCACAAATTTGCTTCCAAGGAGTTAGACTTTTTTTCGTTTAAATGGGGTGGTCTTTTCAAAAGCTGAAAAAATCAAGAAATTGCATTTAAATAGTCCACATCTAAATAGATGTATAGATGGGTTGATTGTAAGGCCTTTAAATGGTTGACTCTTATGTAAGTGGTCGCCAACAAAAGTGCCTCGTTAATGGTGAGCTATATTGGCATACAGTCATCTTGCCTTTTGATCGGGAGTGGAGGTAGGAAAAAGAAATCATCTAGTATTTGAATAATCTTGGGAATATTACGTTTAGTTCGAATGATCCATTCAAGGCTAGAAGAGAATTCATGAAAAAGAAAGGGGGCCGACCTGAGACCAAATTGTAGGACAATACAAAAGAAAAAAAGCCCTTCGCATTTCATACCAAGGAGTTCCCAACCCGAGGGATGGACAGGGACATGCTGATTTTATATTTAGTTTGGATATGAAGCATTCTGGGCCGAGATCCTGAAGTATGACAATTGCATGGTCAACCGTAATGTATCGGGGGATGGCTAAAAACGGCCGATTGGTCGAGAGGTTGTGACGTAAAATAGCCTTCTCGCAGTTACTGTGCATGTGGTAAGTAAAAAACGCATGATCTCCTGAGTAATAGCAG